GCCTTCATGCGTATTTTCCATAAGTCAAAATATTCACCATAGAATAGAGGAGGCTTGTTGTTACTACCACCATCTCTGAAAACTGGTTGATGATTTGCGGAAGCCATTCTGGATCTTTAGGAACAAGTTACCTATAACTTTCTCTGATGCCAATTGTAAGTCTCAGAGTGCCTAAGAGGGGGGGTGAATTAGGTCTTATAAAAATTTATTCGGTTTTATGAGAATGCTTGGTAGTAATTTTTTGGTTAAGTGTTTGAAGGTTTTGATTATATCTTTATCTTTTCCTGATTATGGTGATGAAAGCGATAAATGCGGAAAAGTAAAGAACACGGTGATATATCCTGGTTCCCCTCACAATCCGAGAGTACTCCAGTCCCCTTTCCAACACGAAAGAGATTTCACTATAGTTAGAATGATTGTACAGCCTATGCTTACTATCTAACCTATAGGGTGATCAAAGGTTCTTAACACCTTTAAGACCAAACAAACACTAATGTGAATGAAGAACAATCCTCTTCAAATCACAACACTTACTTCCAACAGTCCTGGATAGTAAGGGAATAATTTCTTTAAATAATACAATGATTTATTTGAAGTAGATGGAGAGCTTTATCAATCTTCAATTGATCTTCTTCTTCAAGATATAAACAATTTTCAAACAATGTATATAAATGTTCACAATGTATGTATGAAACTTGTAATGATAATGAAAGTGTATATGGCAAGTTTCACAAAATTATGAACATATGAAAATATGAATTCAAATGTGAATGATGAAAAATTGTTTATTGAAGAAGTATAATTGTTAATTTGAAAATTGAAGCATTGTTTTTGAAATAAGAAAATCTGCAGCATTTTATAAAGTCATAAGAACCTCTTCATTCATGCCAATTCATATGAAAAGTTGCAATGCACTCATGAAAAGATACCACTTGAAAAATGTTTAAAAACCAAAAGAAAAGCTGCACTGGTTCGCTAGGAACCGGTTCCGACACTGACAGAACCCGGTTCTTAGTGAACATTATAAGTCAGATTTCAAAAATATCACGCGGGAACCGGTTCCCCTATTGGTACAACCCGGTTCCTGGTACAAATTCCAGGGACATGTTTTTGAACAAGGTTTGGAACCCGGTTCCCTGTTAGGGAGGAACCGGTTCCTGAAAGTTAATTTTCAAAAATTCTTTTTGAAAAAGATTTTAAACAAAGTTTTTCTTAAGTGAAAACATGTTGGATATGTATATGATTATGAATGCATATTTTTTGTGAACATCTATATTCAAGATTAAGAATTATTTATACCATTTGACATTTGATGATTCTTCAATAATTCTTCAATAATCTTCAAGACTTTTATATGATGTTGATAAGCTATTTGCACATCCTTTGAATGTTGATGTCCATGTTGTCTTCATCAAAACACATGCTTTAAATATGACTTGAGAAGCTTGCAATTACAATATGCATATCCGAAAATACCACTGAATGTTTAAATACAACGTTCAAATAGTAGTGATGTGTAAACACAAGCGTTTTTTAAGATGTATTTCTGAAACACCTTGAAAATTGATTTAGGATGCGTTTGGAGATGCATCTCAGAAGAATATTTTGGGGTTTTTATAGGTTTACTTCACCCATATAAGGGTGTATTAAGAGATTCTCTATTTTAATCATAAAGTAATCCAACAAATAAGTAATTAAATAAGGATTTAGAGAACAATATAAAAAGAGAAGGGAAAAGGCATCCGAAAAGACTGAAAAGAAAATTGACTTCGAGTGATAAATCAATGTAGCAAATTTTATCAGTTTGATATATAAATTAACTATTTTGTTTCCATCACTTAGTTAATTTTATTTATATTTTTGTTGATTAGTTTTAACTTCTATCTTAAATTTGTTTTGGTATACCTACATTTTATGCAGAAGTTGTTTGAAGTATGTTTTTCACTTTTATTATTTATCGATGAGGAATGTTATTTCTTATAGTGTTATTAGGAATACTTTTGTATATCCATTATTGATATATTGGACAGTTTTACTAGATTAGTTCCCTCGATTTTTATTCTCTTACTTTTAGGAAAGTTTTTCACGTTAAAAATTTGGTGTTCTTGTTATTTAATTTTTCTGTTATTATTATAGTGCTTTGAAATTGGCTATGATGGTTGTCTGTTTAAATTGCAAAGATTTGAGAAAGTATTCCACTTAAAAATATTTCGATTATATGATTATTTTCCCAATAAAATGGTATCGAGAGTTCTGATTGGTTTATTTTATACATTTAAAATGGAGAAAAAACAAGAGCACAATATGATTAAGCTTAACTCTACTAATTATAAACTCTAGAATACTCTCATGGAAGATATGTTATACAACGATAATTTGTATGATTCTATTGAGGGGGAAAAGGTAAATCAAGTGATAAGCATGTTGCTGAATGGAAGAAGATGAATCAAAAGTTAGAAGAAAGGAACATAGTTTGATTGTTACTCCTAATCAGTATGAAGCTTTAGTTACCGAGTCAAGGAGAAGAAATAAAACTAGAAATTTTCATAAGCGTGACAAATTTGAGAGTCGTGACAAGTCAAGAACTAGAAAAGAAAATATATGATACAATTGTGGCAAGGTGAGGCACATAACAATGAATTGTAGTTTTCTCAAAAGAGAATATTCAAGGGAAAAAGATGAAGGTAATGAGAAGAAAAATGATAAAGACACGACAACAGTTGCACATGACAGTGATGTCTATATTGTTTATGATGATAATTCCATAAATCTTACATGTCAAGATTCAACTTAGATTATTGATTCAAGTGCCTCGTATCATGTTGCTCCTAACTGTAATTTCTTCTCATCTTATACGATTGATGATTTTGGAACGTTAAAAATGGGAAATGGGGGAGTTTATGAAATTGTTGGTATGCGAAATGTTTGGGTTGAAATTGGTGTTGGATGCAAGCTTAAATTGAAGAATGTGAGACATGTTCATGATATTTGTATCAACTTGATTTTGTTTAAAGTGTTGGATATTGAAGGTTATCACGCTTACTTTGGTAGTGGTGGCATATGTAAAATTACCAAAGGGTCACTAGTGGTATTAAAGGAGCAAAATCCCACAACTCTTTATTGGGTGCCTATAAAGTTATGCAAGGAGGAAGTGAATGCAGTTAAAGACACATCTAGTGATTTATGGCATAAACACCTAGGTTACTTGTGTGATAAATGACTTAACATACTTGCAAATAAAATTTTTCTTCAGGTGAAAGATACTCCTCTAAAAACATGTACTCATTTTTTTGGTAAGCAACATAGAGTTTCCTTTAATAGTAATGGTCCTCACACGAGGCCAAATATTCTAGATCTAGTTCACATTGATGTTATGATGTATGGTCAATCTTTAGGGGACACTTCATGTTTTATTACTTTTATTGACGACTACTCTAAAAAAGTGTGGGCTTTTGTTTTGAAATCTAAAGACCTTGTACTCAGTGTTTTCATGCACTTTCATGAAAGTGTTGAAAGAGAGAAAGGAAGGAAGCTGAAATATGTCAGAGATGATAATGTCGGTGAATATAGAGTTCTACTAAAGAGTATTATAAGGAGCATGAGATCAACTTGAGAAGACTGTTCCAAAGGAGCCTCAACATAATGGAGTTGCAGAGAGAATGAATCATATGATTAATGACATAATCAGGTGTATGCTCTCTCGTGCAAAGTTATCAAAAGCCTTTTGGGGTGAAGCATTGACAACTTTAGTAGATTTGATAAATCGTTCTCCTTATATTCCATTTGATGGTGATGTTCCAGACAAAGTATAGACAAGGAAAGATGTATATTATGGTTACTTGAAAGTGCTTGTTTGCAGGGCTTTTGTTCACATCTGAAGAGATGAGATGTCCAAGCTTGATAAAATATCTAAATAATGTGTGTTTGTAAGTTATGGCCATGAAGAGTTTGGTTACAGATTGTGGGATCTAGTTAACAAGAAAATTATCAGAATCTGGGATGTGATATTTCTTGAAGACCAAACTATTGAAGATTTTAATAAAACAGAGAATCCAAAATATGATGTTAGAAGTTACAATGATGTTGTGCCTAAACCTCCTAGTGGAAATTTTGTTGATGTCGGAGATATACATGTAGAAGATGAGAATGTAATCAATTTCTAATAACCTTATCATGATGAGCAAGTTAAAGAGGCTCCACCCGAGCCAACAATTAAATTGGAGTTGAGAAGATCTACTAGAGAGTATCAAGTTTCTCAGAGCTATTCTCCACACGAATATGTGATGATCAGTGATAGTGGAGACCCATAATACTACCAAAAGGTTATTTCAAACATTGATAAAGAAATTTGGTTGAAGTCCATGCAAGAAGAGATGAATTCCTTGCGTGAGAATCACACATTTTAGTTGGTGAAATTTCCTAAGGTTAGAAAAGCACTCGAGAATAAATGGGTATACAAGATAAAGCCTAAAGAGAATAAATCTCAACCAAGATACAAAAAAAGGTTTATTTTGAAAGGTTTTAATTATAGAAAATGTATTGACTGTAATCCTTCTTTGAAGAGCATACTTCCACTTTTGAACACTTCTTTAATAATGGAATGACACATTATCCATGTGAGTAGAGTTGAAATTCACAGGAATTTTCTTCCCACTAACAATGTTATGGACAATTGCTTCAGCACCTGTCTATGATTCACATGTTTAAACAATAATTCTATTCACTTTATAATTGACAAGGGTAACTTGTCCATCCTTGTTTTGAGTTGGAAACTTATTCACCAACATGTCATACTTGTTGTCTGACACATCTTGATTGACATATTCATTACCACCCTTGGTGATATTTTTAAGCAGTTGGTTTCTCCAAAAAAGTTGAGTGAAAATACTTCCAACATATATACTTTTGGAATCAAAGGAGTAGTCCTACATTTACTTCACTTGAAAAACAATAAAGTAGGTAACATCTCCTTCTATGTTCAACTAAAAATCAGACTACATTTAATAAACACCATGCTCCACCATCTTGTATGACATGTCATCAACATACATGTAATATCTCTTAAGATTCTCATTGTATTTCATAATAACATCCTCCAGCAGCCGAGCTTCCTTTTTAAATGTCAAAGCTTCTTTTGATAGTTCCCTTTCAAGGGCTATCCATTTCTGGTACAAATATTTCCACTTCAGAACATTTTCCCCATAATGGAAAGACACATTGTATAAGGAAGCAATGGAAATATTTGTGGGGATCTTATTGTCATTAACTATCATCTTTGACTTCTTGTAAGTATCTTTAGTAACACCTTCGTTGACTGGTTCAGACCCATTATGAATTTTATTATTCATAGGAATAAAACCCTCATCAGCACTGGAAGAATTATTAATAACATCACCAGTGTTGTCACTCACAATATGTGAAGTAAAGCTTATCCAACATTGTTTTTGATGAATATAAATTTAATCTCTTAATACTTTGTGCATATTTCAAAGGATGATCAAAAGCATCGTGAGTCAAAGCTATGGAATCAAGACTTGGACCTCTTTAGAGCTTGATCATCATTTTTAGGTACAAGTTGCAAATTCATTATATGATATACTATAGTGCCCATATCTATTATGTTAATTTCATCCATATGCATAACTTGTTTCTAAACATCAAGGCATTTGCATACAAACTGACTTTTTAAGTATTTTTCAATTTTATAGCAGGCGTAACCGGTTACACCAATTGCTTAACCCGTTACATAAACGTAAAAATGTGTTTTTAGAAAATTGTTTCAAACATTTTGTTTTTGGTAAATTGTGGCATTTGAACCGGTCGTAATAGCACATTAAAACCGCCACAATTTGCACCAAATAGTAAAATTGTCTTATTTTTGGAAAAGTATCAGGTGTAATTGGTTACACCTTTTGGTTAATCGATTACACATTCAAAAATTTTAATTTTTCAGGCTTTGCTTCAGGTGTAACCGGTTACGATGATGTGTTAACCGATTACCACTAAAGTCGTGGCACTTTTTCATGAAAAATATGATTCAAACGTATTTTATTTCTTCACCATGAATCATTGCATTGATTGATCATTTTATACTCTTTCAAAATAATGAGATACTCATATAAATACCATATGTTTCAGATTTCAAAAACTCACCTCTTTCATTATAATTCAAACTCATTTTTCTCTCAAATTTCAAACAATTTCTTTGTGTCATAATATTTGTGTGAAACTTACTGCATACATTTTCATTGCATTTCTGAAAGTTTCAACACTATAAGTTCTTAGCACTTGTATGACATATTGTAAATTATACACTTGAAAGGGAAGATCAATTCTTGTAATTGATATACATATTACATCTTCAAATTTCTCATTAAATTTCCAAAATTGTTTTTGTATACCTTGTTGTCCAGGATTGTTAGAAACAAGATAGTTTAAAAGGAGAGGATTGTTCTCTTTTTAACTTGGTTGAATTGTAATGTGTTTTGCCTTAGGGATTGGTTAAAAGCTTGTGTCTAGAAGTCTAGGATTAGGCTTATATAAATTTCTAACAACTATTGAAATCTCTTACATGTTGTAAGGGGACTAGACGTATTCTTGGACAGTGAGAGGAACTAGTATAATCCCTCTGTGTTCTTTATTTTTCTGCACTTTATTACTTTTCTCACATAACCATAAAATAGAAAAAATAAGTAACACTTATCTCTAAAAACTAGAAAATTTTAAAGTACCTAATTCACCCCTCATATTAGGTGAATTCCATACTTACAATTGGCATTAGAGAGGGTTATAAGTAACATGTTTCTAAAGATTCAGAATGGCTTCCGCAAATGCAAATCTTGTTTTTAGAGATAGTGGTAACAATAATGAGCCTCCATTGTTCCATGGTGAATATTTTGATTTTTTTGAAAATTCATATGAAGGCACATCTTAAAGCACAAGGAGATGAAATATAGGATGTTGTAGAGAATGGTTCATTTATTCCTACTAGCGTTATCAATGGCGTTGGTACACCCAAAATCAAAAGTGCTTGGGATGAAGATGATAAGAAGAAAAGGCTATATGACAAGAAAGCGATAAACTTACTTCAAGGAGCACTTAGCATGGATGAGTTCTTTCGCGTTTCGCAATGCACTACGGAAAAACAAATATGGGATACATTGGTGGAAACTCATGAAGGAACCATTGAAGTTAAAAGATCAAGATTAAACACCTTGAGTCAAGAATATAAGTTATTTAGAATGCATCCCAGAGATTCAATTTGTGACTTGCAGAAATCATTTGATAGCACTTGGTAAGACTTTTACTAATGATGAACTCAACCTTAAAGTGCTTAGATCTTTAACCAGGTAATGACAACCAAAAGTGATGGCGATATCCGAATAGAAAAGTCTATCCATAATGACTTCCACAATGTTGTTTGGAAAACTTCAAGAATATGAGACGGAACTTAGAAGACTAGAAAAACATGAGAATCAAAAGAATAAATCCAAAGGTACCGCTTTGAAGGATGATTCAAAAGAAGTGGAAAATGAAAAATCTCTAGAAGGAGATAAGAACTTCATGCTCCTTGTAAAAAGGTTAAGTAACTATTTTGATAATAATGATAATTCTAACTTTGAATGCGCCCCAGGCGAAGAACTCAAGAATTGGACAACTGTTGAGATTCTAGAGATCTCTTTCTTTCCAAAATAATGTTTCTTGTTTTTGAAAGAACTTGTGTCAAGCCCGAGGCATAAGGTTTACTTGTAAGGGTCCCCCAATTTGTTTCAGACAGTATTCATAATTAATAAAATTTATATTTCAATTAAGATCCATGTCTTTCTCTTGCATTTATCTCTTATATTTAAAAATGGAAATACTTTTCTTCATATGAATTTTCCAAATTCACATACTAAAACTGCACCAAAACATGATAAATATGCAGATCCATGCCTAAAATCACCGATAATGTTACTGTTGCCATTCGATATAATTTTGATGCACCCATCAACCAAGCGGAAGAGGAAGATGATGAAGATCTTGAACTTTCTAAAGAATTGGAGAGGGAGATAGAGCAAAAATCTAACAATATACAACCATACCAGAAACCTATTGAGACCATTAACCTTGTCATAAAAGAAGATCTGAAAGAAATCAAGCTAGGGGCAGCATTAGAGAAAAGCGTAAAAGAAAGACTGATCAAGTTGCTACATGAATATGTGGATATATATGCTTGGTCTTACAGAGATATGCCAGGATTGGATATAGACATTGTGGTTCACATACTACCTCTTAAGAAAGTTTGCTCTCAATTAGGCAGAAGCTCAGAAGAACTCATCCAGACATGTCCGATAAGATTTGAGAAGAGGTTCTTAGACAATTCGACACGGGGTTATTAGCGATAGTGGATTATACACCTTGGATAGATAACATTGTGCCAGTATCCAAGAAGGATGTAAAAGTATGCATGTGTGTAAATTATCAAGATCTGAACAAAGCAAGTCCCAAAGACAATTTCTCGTTACCTCATATAGATGTCCTGGTGGACAATACAGCTCAAGCTTCATTATTCTCGTTCATGGACAGTTTCTCAGGCTATAATCAAATCAAAATGGCACCCGAATATATGGAAAAGACTACCTTCATGACTCCTTGGGGAAATTTCTATTATAAGGTAATTTCGTTTGGTTTAAAGAATGCAGGGGCAACTTATCAACAAACTATGGTCACACTATTCCATGATATGATTCACAAAGAGGTTGAGGTGTACGTAGATGATATGATTGCCAAATTTCAAATGGAGGAGGATCACATCATACATTTACAAAAGCTATTCGAGCGTCTGCAAAGGTTCAATCTAAGGTTGAACCCAAACAACTGTACATTTGGTGTCAGCAAGTTACTGGGTTTTATTGTAAGTCAGTGTGGTATTGAGGTAGACCTTGACAAGGTAAAATCCATACAAGAAATGTCGGCTTCGAGGATGGAGAAAGAGGTTCGTAGTTTCTTAGAACTGTTGTACCCCAATTTTTGCCCCTAAGATTCCTCTATCATCTCATATCAACTCAATCACAACAAGATCACACTAGGGTTTGGTTCTTCTCCCTATCTTTAGGTTTTCTCATGAGGAATCACCAAGCACCTTGATTTGTATATTGTGATCATATTTGTTTTGTATTGATTAACTTTTAAACTAATAAATGCAATGAATGTTTGCTCTAATTGATGATATTATAAGTAAGGGCACAACACATTTCATCAGGTTGATTCATAGGTTCATGAGTTTATTTCCATGCCTTCTCCAACAAAATTTAATTGAGATTAAAGCTTCATCATTGAAGATACTTTGAAGTAATATCATGACAAGGTCTATTATGATTCATCATGCCTCAATTTGTCAAAGAAGGTCAAAATATGCAAGAGTTGATTGAAGAAGTTTGACCTAATTGGACAAGTTCTTGATTTCTTGATCACAAGTGCATAACTCTCTCAATTCTTAACATTTGGAGGTCCTGGTCCTGAATATCGGTGGGGCATGGTGTTTGAAAGAGATGTGAACGCTTATGGGAAGGAATTAGTGCCGTGATTATCACTCCACATGGATCGCAAATCCCATTTACTGCAAGGTTGGCATATGATTGAACCAATAACATGGTAGAGTATGAAGCTTGTATCATGGGTCTCGAGGAGGCCATTGATCTCAGAATCAAAGTTCTAGATGTGTATGACGATTCAGCTTTGGTAATAAATCAAATTAAAGGAGAACGAGATACTCGTCACCCTGGCTTGATTCCCTACAAAGACTATGCTAGATGATTATTACCCTTCTTTAATAAAGTTGAATTCCATCATATTCCTATAGATGAAAATCAGATGGCAGATGCTTTGGCCACTCTAGCTTCTATGTATCAAGTAAATACTTGGAACGATGTGCTTCGTATCATAGTTCGACATCTGGATAGGCCGGCTCATGTGTTTGCAATAGAAGAAACGTCAGACGAAAAACCTTGGTATTATGATATCAAGCATTTTCTCCAGACTCAGGAATACCCGAGTGGTGCATCAAGCAAAGATAGAAAGACATTGAGAAGGTTGGAAGGTAGTTTTTTCCTCAATGAAGATGTGTTATACAAAATAAATTATGACATGGTCTTGCTCAGATGCGTGGATAGACAGGAAGCAGACATGTTGATGCATGAGATTCATGAAGGTTCCTTTGGCACTCATGCCAATGGACATTCGATGGCAAAGAAGATGCTTAGGGCAGGTTACTATTTGCTGACAATGGAATCTGACTGTTACAAATTTGCAAAGAAGTTCCATAAATGCCAGATTTATGCTGACAAAATTCATGTGCCTCCGACAC